TGTGTGGGGGACAGGCCCGACTTAACGCTGGAGCTCTGACCGCTGCGGGTTGTCGTGGTGGTGGGTCGTGGGAAGATATTTCGAGGATGCCTCGAGCGGGAGCCCCCAGTCGACAAGTCACTGTCATACGCAATAGGGGATATTGGGGGACCCAGACCCGCCCCGTTTCAGGCCCCAGGCGGGCGGCGTCAAACCAAAGTTCGGCCCTGGGCGGAGCCAAGGGAGGAAGAGCAGGAGGAAGAGCGAAGAGAGGGGTGAAGATCGGGTTAGCCAGGGACGACGAGGTAGAAATGGGCGGTGAAGAGACTGGAAGTACATCGTCGGAACATTCGGAAAGCCAGTCTCATTCCAGACCGGGTTGACGGGCAAGGATGTCGTCGGCAACGTTGTGAAACATCGCATATGTAATAACCGCTGGGCGGTGGAAGCTCATCCCCGTATGATCTCTAGCGATTTACTCCGACGGTAAAACCCAACATGAAAATATACGCAGCTTGCCCCTATCGCCCTTTTCTTCTTCGACTGGCGGATGCCTTCCTTCCGCCCTTTGCGTCCTCGTGTTCCTCCTCCTTCTCCGCCTCGTGCCCCTTCTCGTCATACTCGTTGCATGTCTTATCCTCGTCCTCCTCCACCTTCTCCTCCCCCTATTTCTTCTCCTCCTCCCCCGCCTCCTCCTGCCCTTCCTCCTCATATTCCTCATCCTCTCCGTCCTTCCCCCTCTCCTCCTCCACTCCTTCTTCTCCCGCTCCTCATCTCCACCCTGCCAGTTCTCCTCCTACACCTCACCTTCCTCCTGGCAGGGGCGCGCGTGTAGATGTTCCTCGGCGCCCTCGCCGCCACGCCCGACAGGGGCGCGTTCTCCGAGCGCGAAATCGCGAAGCCATCGGGTGCACCCCAGCGGGCCAGCCCGCCTGAGACTTCCTCGCAATTCGCTCATAGACGAAGTTCCCGCGTGATGCTCCCTCCTTGTTCAAGCTTGAAGAAACCAAAACTGACGACACACTCAAGATTACGATGACCCGCTAGGATTAATCACATGAACAGCGGGCCCCATAGGGGGTGGGGAGGGGGTTCCCGCCTGATATTCTTCGCACATCACCCACAGACGAGGCTCGCGCCGAGACTTCTTCCATGCTCTAGCTTGAAGACGCAAAAGTGACGACAAATATGAGATTCCGATGACCCGCTCGGATTCGTAACATGAGCTGCGGGCCCCATAAAAGAGGAGGCTCCCGCCTGAAACTTCCTCACACGTCCCTCACACACGAGGTTCCCGCCTGAAACGTCCTCCATACTCAAATTTGAAGAAGCCGAAACTGGCGAAAACTACAAGTATAAGAATCCGATGGTCCACTCGGATTGGTAACATGATCTGCGGGCCCCATAGGGAGGGGGCTCCCGCTCACAAGTCACTCACAGACAAGGCTCCCGCTTGATAAATCCTCGAGATTCAAGCCAGAAGAGCCCAAACATGATGACACGTACAAGGTTCCGATGACCCGCCCGGAATAATAACATGAGCTGCGGGCCCCATAGGGAGGAAACTCCGCCCTGAGATTTCCTCGCGATTCACTCACAGACGAGGCTCCCGATTGAGACCTCTTCCATACTCAAAATTGATATAACAAAAAACCAGAAGTTACAACATGTACAAGATTCCGGCGACCCGCTCGGATTAATCACATGATCTGCGGCCCCCATAGGGCGGAATCTCCCGCCTGGAGCTTCCTCGCACTCACAGACGAGGTTCCCGCGTGATGCTACCTCCTTGTTCAAGCTGGAAGAAAACAAAAATGACGACAATTTCCAAATTCCGATGGCCCGCTCGGATTAATCACATGAGCTGATGGCCCCATAGGGAGGGGGTTCCCGCCTGATATTCTTCGCACATCACCCACAGACGAGGCTCGCGCCGAGACTTTTCCATGCTCTAGCTTGAAGACGCAGAAGTGACGACAAATTCAAGATCCCGATGACCCGACCGGATTCGTAACATTAGCTGCTGGCCCCATAAAAGAGGAGGCTCCCGCCTGAAGTTTCCTCACAAAGCCCTCAAACACAAGGTTCCCGCCTAAAACGCCCTCCATGCTCAAATTTGAAGAGGCCGAAACTGGCGAAAATTACAAGTATAAAAATCCGATGGCCCGCTCGGATTGGTAAGATGATCTGCGGGCCCCATAGGGAGGGGGCTCCCGCCTGAGGCTTTCTCACAATTCACCCACAGACCAGGCTCTCTCTTGATAGTTCCTCTGAAATCAAGCCAGAAGAACCCGAAAATGACAAGGTTCCGATGACCCGCTCGGAATAATAACATGAGCTGCGGGCCCCATGAGGCGGAAACTCCCGCCTGAGACTTCCTCGCAATTCAGTCACAAACGAGGCTCCCGACTGAGACCTCTTCCGTACTCAAGCTTGGAACAACAACGCGACTACATGTACACGATTCCGGCGACCCGCTCGGATTAATCACATGATCTGCGGCCCCCATAGGGCGGAATCTCCCGCCTGGAGTTTCCTCGCAATCCACTCACAGACGAGGTTCCCGCGTGATGTTACCTCCTTGTTCAAGCTTGATGAAACTAAAGATGACGACAATTTCAAAATTCCGATGACCCGCTTGGATTGATAACATGAGCTGCGGGCCCCATAGGGAGGGTGGCTCCCGCTTGAGACCCCCTCGCAATTCGCTCACAAACGAGGCTCCCGACTGAGACCTCTTCCATACTCAGGCTTGGAAGAAAACGCACTATTACATGTACAGGAAGCCGGCGAGCTGCCCGAATTAATCACATGACCTGCGGGCCCCATAGGGCAGAAACTCCCGCCTGGGACATCCTCGCAACCCACTCACAGACGAGGCTCCCGCCTGATGCATCCCCCAAGGTCATGCTGCAGGGGCCCAGAACTGACGACAATTAGTGGATTCCGATGGCCCGCTCGGATTCATTGCGTCATCTGCGGGCCCCGTGAGGAGGGGGCTCCCGGCTGAAACTTCCTCACGCATCACTCACAGACGAGGCTCCCGGTTGATACTTCCTCCACATTCAAGCCTTAGGCGCCCAACAACCACGACAATTATAAGGTTCCGGTGACCCAGTCGGATAAAATAACATGATATGTGGGCCATATCGAAAGGGGCCCCAGCATGAAACATCCTCGCACATCAATCACAGACGAGGCTCCCGCTTGATACTCCATACTTAGGATGAAGAGCCCACAAATGACGACAGCTTCAGGGTTCCGATGACCCGCTCGGATTAACAACATGAGCTGCGGGCCCCATAGAGAGGGGACTCCCGACTGAGACTTCGTCGCAATTCACTCACAGACGAGGCATGAGTGAACGAAAGTAATCGAAGGAGTGTGAATGAGTGTGTAAATGATGATGATGTGGTGGTGATGATGATGTGAATGCAAGAATGAATGAATGACAAAGAGAGGGGTGAGGGGTTCTTGCGCGGTGCGTGCGCAGAGAAAATTAGCCTGGCGAAAGACCCAACCATACGCAGTTGTGAATACCGCAATTGTGAATACCATCGTCGCCCACGCTCCCTATGTGGCCACGGCTTCCCGCCGGAGCCCGACATGCTCAAGGACACGTTCGCGGCCGTCTTCGCGGGCGCCGACGACGACGAGGACGGCGACCCCACGACCGAGGACCAGAAGCATGAGAGGGCTCTGAGAGCCATGAGGGAAGCTGCCACTGGCGCCTTCGGTGGAGCTCCTATGGGGCCACGATCCTCGTGAGGGGTGTGCCGAAATGGCCCGAGGCCGCTACACGAACCCTGCCGCTGGGGCCTTCGGTGGAGCTCCCTATGGGGCCACGATCCTCGTGATGGGGTGTGCCGAAATGGGCAGAGGCCACCATGCGAACCCTGCCATTGGCGCTTTCGGTGAAACTCCGCGGGACGCTGAGGCGCGGCTGCCTCTCTGCGCCCGTGACGGGGGAAGCAAGGAGACTTACCAGTTTGAAACATATCCCTATCCCTATGTTTGACATCACCTCACCTCGATGCCGATCTTAAGGATTCCCTCAGTTTCTGAGGGCCCGTCCCTAAGATTGCCCTCGCTCTTTGCTTGCCCACCTTAGGGATAGATAGGGATACCTTCGAGGCCGGTTAGAGACATCGGCACCGCCAAGTGCCCCTGCTTCGTGCACAGGGGGTCCGAGCCGAGGGGGTCCGAGCGGGTGGGGCCTTGAGGCCTCCTGGCCGGGGTCGGAGGAGGCAGCCGCACCGCCGGGCACGCGGGGGCGCCATTCCCCGGCCCCCCCCCCTGCTCGGACCCCATTCGTTGAGCAGGGGCCGACCGTCCCGGCATTCCTATCAGTAGTCCTACCACGAAATGTTCTCAGAGCCTACAACAAAATGCTCCAAGAACAACAGCAAGTTTCTTAGAGCATAGGCCCGAGGTGCAAAAACAAGACAGCCCCGACCAGGACTGTTCCAAGAACATCCCGTGGGAGCCACAAAAAAGGTGTTAGAACATCGTTTTCTGGAATCCCAAAGCGGTGCGGTGACAGACCGTGCGGTGACCTCGAACTCCCCCAAGACCTCACCGCACGGTCCGTCACCGCACGGTCTTGGGACCCTGGAGGCCCCCATCGCCCGAGGCATACTCGGAGAGGGGCTCGAGTCCCAAAACCGTGCGGTGACCCCGAATCCCCACCGACTCGCCGCACGGTGTGGCCACCACACCGTCTGGGGGCCCCCGATGTTTCGTGGGGCTCTATAAGCGCGCCGGGGCGCTTCGCCACTGCTCGACTCCGGGAGGCCCGCGGGCTCCGTGTGGGCGCTGCCGCTCTAGGCTCAAGTGGGGCCTGTCCCCCTACAGGGGGATTTTGGGCGAAACATGACAAATAGCCAAAAAAGAGACCTCTAAATGGTAAAAAAAATACTCAAAAAATAGTCCCCCGGCCATTTTTTGACTATTATTTGGGTATCCTTTATTGTTCTCAGGAAGGGAAACACACACACACACACACACATACACACACAGACACAATTAATTGTCGACTCCAAGAAATATAGGAAAATATGGGAAGTGGGGGGGGAAGACAAAAACCCAGAAGATGTGGGAAAACATAGGGGAATCTGTATGTTTTTGTGTGTATTCATTTGTGTGCCCCAGGGCCCCTTCAGGTTCGTCGAAAATCCCCCTGTAGGGGAGGACAGGCCCGACTTCACTCTGAGGCCCCCTCCGCCCCTGCCTCGGGCCCTCGCCGCTCTCCAGCGGCCCGCCTGCGCCGACTGGGGGCCGGGGGGGGGGCGGGCAGGGGCGCGGCGCCGGCGGCCGACCCCAGAGGCCGACCCCGCGGCGCGCGCTCTGGCCCGAGGATTATGTCGGGCGTGCCCCCCTACAGTGGGGCTTTCGACGAAAAATTGAAGATATTCCAAGAATGCCCTAAGAAGGTTTTAAAAATACACCAAAAATAGTCCCCAGACTATTTTTTGGGACTATTTTTGGTTAGTTTTGTGGTATTATATATTTTTCGTCGAAAATCCCCCTGTAGGGGGACAGGCCCGACTTAACCCGAGGGTGCTGAGGAGAATCCAGCCCTGGAGGCGAGGGCTCCCCAGGACGAGCGCCGCGGTGGGTGCATGTTCCTCCCGTGGCACGAGGGTGGCCCGCAGCTTCCCGAAGCCTCCAACATGCTCGAAGACTGCACTGCAGACCTGGGAACCGACCCCGACTGCTTGAAGCCTTGGCTGGGATTTCGATGTCGAGGCCCTGGCGCTATGTTTCCCTGGGGGGTCAGGGCTTGTGGACCTGGGAGGTTGGGCGGTGTGGGGTGCAGAGGATATGGGAGAGGGGGGGGCGGGTTGGGAGGTGGATGTGTGTGTGTGTGTGGTGGCGAAGGCTGGGGCGGAGAGGCGGTTGGGGTGGGGTGAAGGGGGGGGGGAGTGTGGGGGGTGCTGGCGAGGGGGCTCGCGCGCGCGCAACTGCGCCCCCGCACACTGAACACCGAAGCCCCCAACCTCCTCCTCCTCCTCCTCCTCCTCCTCCTCCTCCTCCTCCTCCTCCTCCTCCTCCTCCTCCGCCACGCCCGACCGGCATCACCGCCCCCCCCCCCACGCCCCCGCCTCCATGGCAGCCTCTGCCGCGGCGGCGGCCGCGCTCCTGACGTCCTCCGCCGAGCCCGGCGGGCGCCGCCCTGCCTGGGGGCGCGCGCCAGAGGGCCACTACAGTCGAGGCGTTGACCTAAGGAACCCTAAATAAGGAGCGAGGCCCCTTTTCCCCATAAGTTCAACTTCGATTTCGTGTGGCAAACCCAAGAAAACCCGAGGCAAACTTTGAAACAATCAAGGAACACGGAGCCCCTCCCCAGCGAAAAGGGTTCCTTCTTCAGGGCCCCGACTGTGATCAGGGCCCTGCCTGGGGGCACGCGCCGGAGGGCCACACATCAGGAGGAGGAGGAGGAGGACGAGGAGGAGGAGGAGGAGGAGGAGGAGGAGGAGGAGGAGGGAGGAGGAGGACGAGGAGGAGGAGGGAGAGGAGGAGGAGGAGGACGAGGAGGAGGAGGAGGAGGAGGAGGACGAGGAGGAGGAGGAGGAGAGGAGGAGGAGGAGAGGAGGAGGAGGAGAGGAGGAGGAGGAGGAGGTGGAGGAGGAGGAGGAGGAGCGGCGCCGAGAGGGACAAACCGTTCGCTCCCTCCGCGTGGCGTGCAGTCGCAGCGCCAACGTACGAAGGAGCGCCAGTTGCGAGGGAGTGGTGTTTGTCGTCCGGCCACGGCGGGCCTCGGCCACGAAGGGCTTCCCCGGCCGAGACTGACGTCGGGCCTGTCCCCCTACAGGGGGGTTTTTGGACGAAAACTATCAGGGGGACGTAAGACCTGGGTACAGGGGACTCGGAAATCCTCGACGAGGTCGTCAAAAAAATGACGAGGCCGAGCCTGCATTTTGACGAGGCCTCCCGCTGCAGACATCCAACGAAACTCCTCCTCGTCAAAATCCGAGGCGCGGTCGTCAAAAAACGATGGCGAACCCGAGTCCTGGCAAACCCGGGTCTTACGCTCCCCCGAAACTAAAAAAGATACGCGAAAAATACTCAAAAGATGCCCCAAAAATACTCAAACATAGTCCCCTGACTATTTTTTGCCTATTTCTGAAGACTCCCCCTGCAGAGGGGCAGGCCCGACTGAAACCTAGACCGAAGGAGCGATCCCCCAAAACCCGAGCCCCTCCTGAGCCCAGAGTGGTCCCTACTTGCAGCGCCTGGACCGTGGGGGCCGAGCGGAAAAACCTGAGGCCCCTTCGGGCGCTCTGTGCCGGGTATTGCAGGATTCCTGTACAGTTGGGGCGTTGACCTAAGGAACCCTAAATAAGGAACGAGGCCCCTATTCTCTCCATAAGTTAAACTTCGATTTCGCATCGAAAACCTAAGGAAAATCCAAGGCAAGCTGCGAAACAATTAAGGAACGCGGAGCCCCTCCCACACGAAAGGGGTTCCTTCGTCAGCGCCCCGACTCACAGACCTCTCGGGCGTTCTTGGGTGTGCCAACGCGCGTCACCTGGCTGCGCATCTCCCATATGACCTAAGACTGGCCACCTGTGGCCATTCCTGGAGCCCTCGTGATGGGCTCGATCGGCCCATCTTGGGAACCCTCGGGGCCAGCCTACGAAGAGGGCCAAGTCTTCCAATCAAAGGTCATCCACGGTGGTCCATGAGTTAAGGAGCTCGGATCGACCATGCGCATGCAACCCTGAGCCCCCCCCAAACATAGAACCACATGAAACCAAACGAGTTTTCAATCAACCAATTCACATCGGGCGAATGAAATCACATAGTGAAGCTACAGGGAACTGTGGCCACGCGGGAGACAAGCGTCGCCATCATCGCCGACGTCATCGTCGCCGTCGGCGTCGTTGCCACCGTCGTCGGAGTCCTCGTCGTCGCCGTCGGCGTCGTTGGCGTCGCTGTCGGTGGCGCCGTCACAACCGCTGCCGTCGCCGCCGTCATTGTCGCCGTCGCCGCCGTCGTCGCCGCCGCCGTGGATCGCCGTCCCTGCCATCGTCGCCGCCGCCGTTGCTGTCGCCGGTGTCGTCCGTCGCCGCCGTCGGTCGCCGTCCCCGTCGCCGTCGCCGTCGTCGATGCCGTCGCCGGTGTCGCCCCCGCAATCGCCGTCGCCGTCGTCGTCGTCCTCCTCCTCCTCCTCGCCGTCCGCGTCGTTGTTGCTGCTGTCGTCGGCGTCCCCGCCTCCGTCGTCGTCGCCGTCGCCCCCGTCGCCGTCGCCGCCGTCGCCGCCGTCGTTGCCAGCGGCGCCGTCGCCAACGCTCCCGTCGCCGCCATTGTTGTCGCCGTCGGCGTCGTCGTCGCGGAGGCCCCTCCCTCGCAGCAGCCGCTGCCGTCGAGGCGCGGGTAGGGAGGGTCTCCAGGGCGGGAGGAGGGCGCGGGAAGAGGAAGAAGAGGGAGGGGACCCTCCCCGGGGCGGCGGAGGAAGGAGCGGCGCTGCCAGACTTCACGGGGCACGCGGGGAACTTGCACCGGGGCGCCCCCGAAGTTCACCCCCTAGCCCAGACTGCGCACAGGAGGTTGGCCAACCATTTGACCAACATCGTCCTCGGCATCGCCCGGCCGAGGCGGACATTGGCCGCCTGCGGCGGCGTCGGCGCCGCCAGCGCCGGCAACGGCCGGCGCGGCTGTGTCCGGCGCGGCGCCTTTCTGCTCGCGGCGGGCCCGTCGCTCGAGGGCGGCGGCGTCGACCGCCCCCCCCCTCGTGGACGGCCGCCGCCGTGGAGCCCCGTCGGCGGCGCCGCTCCTGTGGACATCCTGCGCCGACGAGGAGGAGGAGGAGGAGGAGGAGGAGGAGGAGGAGGAGGAGGAGGAGGAGCAGGAGGTCAGAGAGGAGAGGGTGGAGGATTCAGCGTGGATGCAGCGTGCCTGAGCATCCCAACAATCAGCGCCGGTGCAGGGCCGACGGCATCGAGCCTGCCGCCCACCGGCCAGGCCTGTCCTGGGCGTCGTGGCAGCAAGGCAGCATCTCCTGGAACGCGCGCGGCTGAAAAAGCAGCCACTGCGTGTCTGAACGCGGCAGCGCGCTCCGCGCGCCGCCGCAGGTCCCCCCGCCTCGCCCCGGGTGGGGGGGGTGAACCGCCGTGGGAACTGTAAGCCCCGGGGGGGGGGAGAGGAAACGAGAGGGGGGGGAGGGGGGGGAAGGGGGGGGGGACGAGGGTGGAGGAAGAAGGGGAGGAGGAGGAGGAGGAGGAGGAGGAGGAGGAGGAGGAGGAGGAGGAGGAGGAAGAGGAGGAAGAGGAGAAAGAGGAAACGGAGGAGACGGAGGAGGAGGAGGAGGTGCGAGGAGGCCCCGCGGGGCCTCATGTGGCCCCACGGAGCCCCAGGACGCTCCAGGAGGCCCCGGGAAATCTCGGGGTCCCCAGAAAGCCCCCGGGCTCCCCGAGGTCCCCGGGGCGGGGGGGGGGTTCTTATGAGGTTCTTGGTTCGATTTTACGCGTGCCGGGACAATGCAGGGTTCGCACAACAAAAACATGGAATAAACACGACATCCTCCAGAAACATGTGAAGCCTCCAGAGTTATGCCAGGAATCAAACATAACACCTACACGAGAAACCTGGGACGCCCCAGCCAGGAGGCCCCGGGAGGCCCCAGAAGGCCCCGGGAAGCCTCAGGGCACCCTCTCAGGCCACGCACCCGCCGAGTGGGCTCGACGCCGACCCGAGAAATGCGCGCGGACCTTGGTGTTTCTGTGTTTGCTTGTTCCCCGAGGGGAGGGGGGGCGATGGGAGGACAAATATGAGATGATTTTTTCCTTCACGGAGATATCCCGGTTATCTGGTGGAGGGGTGAATGTCCTGCCCGCGCGACCCGACCCGTCCGTTTGGGTCCGCCCGCCCGACCCGCCCCGCCTGTTAGGGTCCTCACTTGCCAATTCGGTCACGCATCACACTTTGATATCTTGCCGGGGTCGCCCCGACCCTCCCGTTAGGGTCCGTCCGCCCGCCCTGGGGGGGAGGGAGCACAGCCGATAGCACAACTTTCTCGCTCTGGGCAGCCCCATACGTGCCCGCGCACACCAGCATCGCGTGCCCCCTTCGGACCTGCGCACAAGACACGGTCAGGCTATCTGGGGGGGGCGACAGTCTCGAACCCAAACCATTTTTGGGTCATGAAAAAATCTGAAGGGGCCCTGGGACACACAAAGAAATACACACAAATAAAAAGATGCCCCATATTTCCCCATATTTTCTGGGGTTTTGTCTTCCCCCCCACTTCCCATATTTTCCCGTATTTTCTGGGGAATCGCCGATTCATTGTGTCTGTGTGTTTCTTTCCCTCCTGAAAGTCATGACGTTACATGTTTCGCTATTTACGGCCTCCAGTTGCCCCTTGCCGCTCCTTGGGACGATCAAACAACGACTCAGGATGAACAGCCGGTCCTGGGGAATGGATCGAAGCCTCCGGGGGTCGACGTAAGCAAACAAAAACATGACGTTGGGGTCCAGGAGCCGTAGAAAAAAAGAAACAACGGCGTAAACATAAACTGTTGGACGGCCGCGCAGATTTCTTAGGATCGGTGCTGAACCCCCTCCCTGGTGCGAGGAGCGCGCCAAGGGGCGGCGCCGGAGGCGCTGCCAAGATGGGGCCAGCAACGATACCAAGAACTCCGTGCGGAGTTCCGCAAGTTCTCGAAGCGGGGCAAATTAAAAGATACAGATCCCGCTACTCCCCGAACCTCACCCTGGGTGCGTTATGACTCGGATTTCGAAACGGATCCAGCGGCGGCGACGAGGGCCTCAGGGGGGCCCAACGAGGCGAAAACGAGAGGTAGCGGTATGGGTTCCTTTGTCTCCTCGGAGAAGCAGGGGACGCCAGGCTCCGCCTGCTCAGGCGCCCTCCTCGACTCACTCCCTGGGACCAGTTTCTCATCCAGGGTCGTTGTTTGACGGTCCCGAGGCCCGGTGAGGGCCTCCCAATGCCGTGAGTAACGAAACGCATCCCATCATGAGCCATGTAGCCTTGAGACCTTACGTTTGTGCAGTTGGTCGCTCTCCGACGCTGGGGCGAGGACGATGTCATGACAAGATTGGCTCGGGGTGCGTTCCACAATTTCCAAGAAGCATCCAGCGGCACATCCCGTGCGAAACAGTAGGAACTGTGGGGACGCCCAGAAAACTTGGGAACCCTGGGGCGTGTCACCATCATCACCTCATCGCCGTCTACGAATAAGATTGGCTCGGGGTGCCCTCCACGATGTCCAAGAAGCCGCCAGCGGCGCAGCGGGTGCGAAACATCAGGAACTGTGGGGATGCCCCGAAAACTTGGGAACCCTGGGGCGTGTCGCCATCATCACCTCATCTCCATCTGCGAAGTGAAGGGGCCCTGGAAGACACACACACACACACATAAATACACACAAACAACCGGATTCCCCACATGTTCCCACATTTTCTGGGTTCTTGTCTTCCCCTCCTCTTCCAATATTTTCTATATTTTCCTGAGAATCGACGGTTCATGATGTCTGTGTGTGTGTGTGTTTCTCCCCCTCCTGCAAGAAAAAGGGGGGCGCCGGGCTCCGCCTGCGCGTGCGCCCCCTTCTTTTTCTTCTTGCTCTTCTTCTTCGCCGGCAGCGGCTGCGCCGAGACAGCCGCCTCCCCGGGCGCGCGCGTGTATCGCGCGCGGGCCGCTGCGGCCGTGGCTGCTGCCGAAGAGGGGGCGCTGGAGGAGGAAGGAGGCCTACTTTTGGAGCACCCTTCCTCTCTTTCCTCCTCCTCCTCGTCCTCCTCCTCCTCCTCCTCCTCCTCCTCCTCCCTTTCTCCTCCTCCTCCTCCTCCTCCTCCTTCCCCTCCTCCTCCTCCAGCTCGTCCTCGTCCTGGCGCGCTCACGGGGGGCCCGGTCCTCAACAAGTGGCTGATGGATCCGAAGCCAAAATGGGATAGCCGCTACCCTCAGACACGTCTGGCCAGGCGGTCCGCTTTGGGGGCACTTCACCCTCCAGAAGCCTGAAGGGACCCTGGTTGCCTGTCCGAGTAGAAGCATGGCATGGGTTGGAGAATCCGAGGGAACTGCAAACCTGTGCACCCCCACAAGAACGGCACCGCCACGGGCCCCTGGTACTCTCCACCCCGTCTGAGGAATGCATCTGCGAGGGCCTGCGCGGGCACGGGGTCTTAAGCCACTCTGCCTCGGGGATGGCCCGACAGGGTGAGTGAGCTGTAGCAGACCGAGCAACGCACCCCCCGGCCCCGCGGGTGGACCGTGTGGGGGGACGCCAGACCTCTTGACGCCAACCAGAACTCCTGGCGCCGGGCCCGCTGCGCCACCGCCAGGTCCGCCTGCGAGCGCGGCGGCGGCGAGCTTGCAGTGTTGTCCCTCCATTGCCCCACCTCCTCCAGCCCAACAGTGAGAATGTGGACGAGGACAGTGTGGGCGAGGGGGCTTCGATCCGATCGAGCTCGAGGATTGCGCGCTGGGGGCGAGCGGCAAGGGTCGCTTCTTTAGTGGGTGCCTCATCAGCCGCCTGGCTGACAAGGGAAGAAGGACGCTTGGCGAGGCGACAGATGTCGACCTCTGCGACATGAGATTTGATTTTCTTGAAAACAACCTGGCCTGGGTGGCCCTTTAGGCCTGTCCAAGAACGCAGCCAAGCAACTGCGTGGCTCTCCCATAAACGTTCGGGGCCTCGGCTGATGCCGTCATGGACGTAGGTCGCATCAACCGCAAAGGTCCCGGGGCCCTTGACGTGCCTGAGGGCCTGGGTGATTGCTTCTAACTCGGCCAATGTGGCAGTCTGCTGCTTGCGAACACGGGGGCCGCAGACCCCACATCTGGATCTTCTACAACAGCTGCAAATCACCAGCCGCACCCTCTAGCTCGAATGCTGGAGGAAGACTCACCCCCACTCCAATCAGATCCTAAAGTGGACGAGCTGGAAAGGGGAGACCTCGCTCCTTACTGACGCACTCCTTCGGTGGTAAAACTTGGCGCTGGCCGTGTCCACAATATAGAGAACACCCAGCCACGCGGAACGAGCCCTCGATGATAAAGGCACGGCCTTGCTTCTGTTCGCTCTGCGCTCGTCCTGCCAGGTCGGAAAGCCGTGCCCTCTTGCGCGACGAGGAGGCGGCAACCTGCTGCTGGTGGAGCATCGCCCCGGGGGTGTTCCTTCCACCTCGGGCCGAATTGCTGCTCAGGTGGCCCCGGGTGCCTTCGGGTAGCGGGCCACCAGGCCCCTGTAGCTAATGCTTCTAGGCAGCCAGCACCCGCGGAGCCTCTTCTGCTGGAGGGCCTGACCACCTTCTTGAGATGCGTGAGGTCGGCCCCATTCTCCAAATCCTTCCCACAGACATTCTGGGCGGCATGTCGTTCCCAGGCCCGAAGCTCGAAGGTGCCATCCAATGCCAATGCGCACTTCTGCCATCCTGCCCTGGGCCCGCTGGAGTCCTCGAGGTGCAAGCGGGCCCCGGCTACTGGGGCACCCTCTGGTAGCGAGTAGAAAATCTCTACCGCGTAATCCGTCCAAGAGGAGCCCGGGATCGCATCCTGCTTGCAATGATCCAATAATGGTAGCCAAGGGGTCCTGCATTCTGCCCCGAGGACTCGCTGCCTCGCGCAGCGCATGGAGGCGTCGCCCCCAGGCGTGGGCAGGGCGCTCCCCCTAACAGGGTCGGGAGCGCCCCTGGCCGAGCTTCGACGAGGTCCCGCCGGCCGAAGAAAAAGAGGGAAGGTCGCCGCGCTTCCCCTGGTCCAAGGTCGAGCGCTACGGTCGCACGTCCACCTGGCTTTCGTGGTCCTCGAAGTCCCTCGAAGCCAGGTGGTCCTTCGAAGGACCTCGAAGGCACGTGGTGTCCTTCGAAGGAAGTGTTGCCGTGGTACTTCCCTAAGGCACGTGGTCCTTCGAAGGAAGTGTTGCCGTGGTCCCTCGAAGCCCCTCGAAGGCAGCCAGGGGGTCCGCCTTGCCCCGCTGGGCCCCAGGCGGCCTGCGGCATCGACCCAGAGTCATGGCCAGCTTGGTGGCCCCGCGGCGGGCGCGCGTGAGTCGTGGAACCCTCCTGGCCTGCCCTCGAGCCTCGTCCATTTCCTGTGCATTGTTCGGTTTCGTGCGTGTTTTTTTTTGCTCGATGGTCCAGGATGGTCCTCGGTGGTTCTCGCCGAGAAAAAATGCACACGTCCGAGCGATGCCAAGGCCTCCGTCATGCGTCCTGCTGCCGCGGTGGTCGACGTGCGCTGCGAGGGGGAATCCTGCCCCGAGTCTCGGGCCGTGACCTTAGTGACTGCCTCCACCTCGATACCTTCGGCCGCTGAGCCTGCGCTGATCTGCCGCGAAGGAGCGCCGTCGAGCAAAAAAAAAAACGTAGATTTGTCCCAACCATCCTGTGGTGTTGGGTCCTCGTTTTAAAGAGACGTCGCCCCGCGTTCCTCCTCCTCCTGCCTCCTCCTCCCCTTCCTCCCCCCTCCTCCCCCTCCCACACCCATTCTGGCACACCCCTCACACGTTTCGTGGCCCCATAGGGAGCTCCACCGAAGGCCCCAGTGGCTGCGCCCGCATGCGGTTCCACCCCCCATTCTGGCACACCCCTCACACGTTTCGTGGCCCCATAGGGAGCTCCACCGAAGGCCCCAGTGGCTGCGCCCGCATGCGGTTCCACCCCCCATTCTGGCACACCCCTCACACGTTTCGTGGCCCCATAGGGAGCTCCACCGAAGGCCCCAGTGGCTGCGCCCGCATGCGGTTCCACCCCCCATTCTGGCACACCCCTCACACGTTTCGTGGCCCCATAGGGAGCTCCACCGAAGGCCCCAGTGGCTGCGCCCGCATGCGGTTCCACCCCCCATTCTGGCACACCCCTCACACGTTTCGTGGCCCCATAGGGAGCTCCACCGAAGGCCCCAGTGGCTGCGCCCGCATGCGGTTCCACCCCCCATTCTGGCACACCCCTCACACGTTTCGTGGCCCCATAGGGAGCTCCACCGAAGGCCCCAGTGGCTGCGCCCGCATGCGGTTCCACCCCCCATTCTGGCACACCCCTCACACGTTTCGTGGCCCCATAGGGAGCTCCACCGAAGGCCCCAGTGGCTGCGCCCGCATGCGGTTCCACCCCCCATTCTGGCACACCCCTCACACGTTTCGTGGCCCCATAGGGAGCTCCACCGAAGGCCCCAGTGGCTGCGCCCGCATGCGGTTCCACCCCCCATTCTGGCACACCCCTCACACGTTTCGTGGCCCCATAGGGAGCTCCACCGAAGGCCCCAGTGGCTGCGCCCGCATGCGGTTCCACCCCCCATTCTGGCACACCCCTCACACGTTTCGTGGCCCCATAGGGAGCTCCACCGAAGGCCCCAGTGGCTGCGCCCGCATGCGGTTCCACCCCCCATTTCGGCACACCCCTCACACGTTTCGTGGCCCCATAGGGAGCTCCACCGAAGGCCCCAGTGGCTGCGCCCGCATGCGGTTCCACCCCCCATTCTGGCACACCCCTCACACGTTTCGTGGCCCCATAGGGAGCTCCACCGAAGGCCCCAGTGGCTGCGCCCGCATGCGGTTCCACCCCCATTCTGGCACACCCCTCACACGTTTCGTGGCCCCATAGGGAGCTCCACCGAAGGCCCCAGTGGCTGCGCCCGCATGCGGTTCCACCCCCCATTCTGGCACACCCCTCACACGTTTCGTGGCCCCATAGGGAGCTCCACCGAAGGCCCCAGTGGCTGCGCCCGCATGCGGTTCCACCCCCCATTTCGGCACACCCCTCACACGCTTCGTGGGTGGCTCCATGGGGAGCTCCACCGAAGGCCCCAGTGGCTGCGCTCGCATGTGGTTCCCCCCCCTCATTTCGGCACACCCCTCACACGCTTCGTGGCCCCATAGGGAGCTCCACCGAAGGCCCCAGTGGCTGCGCCCGCATGCGGTTCCACCCCCCGTTCTGGCACACCCCTCACACGCTTCGTGGCCCCATAGGGAGCTCCACCGAACGCCGCAGTGGCTGCGCTCGCATGCGGTTCCACCCCCCATTTCGGCACACCCCTCACACGTTTCGTGGCTCCATAGGGAGCTCCACCGAAGGCCCCAGTGGCTGCGCTGGCATGCGGTTCCACACCCCATTCTGGCACACCCCTCGCACGTTTCGTGGCCCCATAGGGGGCTCCACCAAAGGTCCCAGTGGCACTGCCCGCTTGCGTCCGCCACCACCCAGCACAGCCCTTGTTCCCTGCGCTTCACCCACCCAGAACAGCGCTTCGTAGCCCTATAGGGAGCTCCACCAAAGGTCCCAGCGGCACCGCCCGCATGCGTCCGCCACCACCCTGCGCAGCCCTTGCTCCCTGCCTGCGTTTCACCCACCCAGTACAGCGTTTCGTGGCCCCATAGGGAGCTCCACCGAAGGTCCCAGTGGCACCGCTCGCATGCGTCCGCCACCACGCAGCACAGCCCTTGCTGACCGCGTCTCACCCACCCAGTACAGCGTTTCGTGGCCCCATAGGGAGCTCCACCGAAGGTCCCAGTGGCACCGCCCGCATGCGTCCGCCACCACCCAGCACAATTGCGGCATTCACAACTGCATATGGTTGGGTCCTTCGCCAGGCTAATTCTGCGAGAGCTCGAGGCCGCGGGGCTGCCTGGGCGCAACCAGGGCAGAGGCTCCTGCAGCAGCGCGTGGGTGCACCATCTTCTTTGGCCCTCTGAGCTGCGCGCTCGTGTCGTCGACGCACGCGCTGCTGTCTACTGGTCCAAACATTGCGCGGGCGGTTTCCACCGCGCCATGTAGGCACTCGTCCAAGGCACTGACACAACGCGCCCCTGCAAACTTGAACGTTCCACCTGGATCGAGTCTGAGGCTTCTTTGCCTACCTCGATGACACGCGCGGGTGCCACGCCGCGCGCGCAGCCATGCCCGGGCACATGGCGCACCCGGAAATCGAGGCCCCGCCTGGGCACGCTGACCCAAAAAGGGCCGAGCGCGTCAAAGAGTTTCTCAGCACCCAGAAGCAAAACGGCCCAATCATTCTGAGTTCAGGGAACGGCTTCTGTCCTGGCCAAACGTGCAAGTGCTGCCTTGAATGGGTCGGGAATTTTGATTGCACCTCGTAAAGTAACGCCTGCTCTGGCCAATTGCGCAGGGTCTCGGCGTCACTCGACATCGGCGCTGCCGCTTCCTGTCCCTCCGGGAACTCCAGCCCGCTGCCCAAAGTGCCGCTGACAGGCGCCCATGCCCATGGGGAACCATTGCAAACCGCACTCGCCCGCGCGGCGGCGACGGGTTTCGCGTCGCCCATGGCCTGGACAGCCTGCCTCCGAAAGTCACTCCACCGAGCCTGCTGTGTGGGGTATCCTTTCCCCTCTGGCTCTGTCCAAGGGGCTTCACATCTCACCTGTTCGACAGCGAGGCCCCCCCCCGGCCCCAACGAGGCGGGCCTTGGTTATCGAGCCCAACTTGAGGTAGCGGTTCACGAATGCCCCAAGGCTCGGCACGCCAGCGGGCCCACGCCCCCACCCCCCCGGCCACCCCTCAGACGATCCTGGGGCCGCGAGCGCTTCTCCCAACTCGGTCGCAAGGTATGGCCAGAAAGACAAGCGCCACGAAGCCTCATCAGGGTTGCCGCTGCCCGCGGAACCTGGGACCTGGCCGCGATAGTTCTTGCCCAGAAGGCCAACTCTGCGGATGATCCGGCTCCGTGCGAGGGCCCTGGCGCTGAGCTGCGACGTCAGTGATCGAAGCTGGCGCCCGGCCTCGGTGAGACCGAGCGCGCGCGCTGGCTGCCCTCGCCCGGGCAGCCGCAGCGCCTCGCCTGCAAGCGAGGACGGACAGCGCTGCCTCGTGAGGCCCTGGAGGTACCGGTGGCGGCACATGGGCTTGCCGTCGCTCGGACGTCCATGTCCCGTGCATCGTTCGGTCTCGTGCGTGTTTTTTTTTTTCGCTCGATGATCCAGCATGTTCCTCAAGGGTCCTCGCCGAGGAGCAAAACACACACGTCCGAGCGATGCCAGGTGGGTGCATCGTGCCATGGGCTCTTCAGCGGGCACGCGGGCGCCGGCCGCCTCCTGCCAGTGGACCTCTCCCCTGCGGCGCCAAGGAGGCCGAGTCGCGGCCGCGCCCGCGGCGCGCCACGGTCGGGGCGCCCGGGCGCGTGCCGACCAGGCTGGCGATCTCGGCGGCCCGTGGCCCGGGCGAGGGAGGCGCGGAGGCGGCCGCCACGCGCCGGCGCCGGCGGCGGCGTGCCGGGGCCCCCGAGGGCGGCGCGTCCGACTCCGAGGAGTGGGGGGGGCTGGCAGCACAGCGGCTCCGGCGGGGGCGCCGAGGCAGTCTTTCTCTTTGCCTTCTTGCTTCCATCGCAGACGCTCCATTTTAAAGTCTCCGCCCCCCCCCCTTCCTGCGACAGCCCCCGCGGTCGCAGGCAGGCTCCCCAAGATGCCCCCAGACAGGCCTCCCCTCTCTCGAGCACACGCACGGGCATGGGCAGAAACCCACGGATCGGGGAAGGTACCCCCCCTGAAGATGTAACGTGGCGTCTGGCGACGGAGCGCGCCGATCTCGTATGGAAACGGGCCCCGTCGCTAATCCACGCGCCCTGATCAACGTTTGCAGTCCCTTGATGCTGCTGCTCACTTTCGCCCCTCCGCCCCCCCCCCCCCTGGAGCCTCCAGTGCCGCCTCGACGGCGGCCGCGGTGGCCGCTGCCGCCTCTCGCACACACGTGGGAGGGGAGGTCGCGCGTTGCAATGTAAGCCGGTGATGCCGCGCAACGCAGGTTGACAGAGCTCTGCGTGCGAACCGACGAATCGATGACGGATCTGTAGGTGTCTTGGCCCGGACACTCCCATGCAGCTGACTCGCAACGTTTAGGCCGGCGCTCAAACGATCTGCTGTCCACAAGTCGTGCACATGTGCATGGGTGTGTCGAGCCAGCGGAGAACATACATGGGTGAGTTGCAACGCAGACAAGGGATTGCAACTGCATCGCATCAGCGTTCCCAGTCTCGTCAGTTAGATGTTGCTCCCTGAGGGGGGTGGCGGAGGAGTAACCCCTTGCCAAATGGCCATGGCCGACCAAGGATGCCGAGCAGTCAGCCCGTCTGGCCTGCGCGCCCCTCTGTGGGAGTCTGCTCCAGTGCGGCAATGGAATATACGAGCTCAGCCATCCATGCAAAAAGTTGCGCAAGGGAGTTTCAACAATACACATGTATGTGTATATGTATCTGTGTATAGACATACGTGTATACTCTGGTGTGGAAATATCTATATATACATATATATATATACATATATATATATATGGGTCCCGGCGTATCCCCCCTCCTTACTGACGCTTGTTGCTGGGGGGAGGGGTTCTTCAAACCACCATTACACGCTTCAAGACGGTTTGAAGAGCCCCGCGCCAGCGAGGAAAGAAGTGGGGCCCGAACGACTCGGCAGCGGCAGCGGAAGACCTCATGATTTAGCTGTTGCATCTCCCATCATCCGGCGGCATGGGACGAAGCCCTTACGGATACATACGCATACATCTTTACATCTATACCTACCTACCTACACACATATATGCATACATACATGCGTACATATATACATACATACATACACACATACATACATATATACACATACATACATACATACATACATACATACATACATACATACAGACAGACAGACAGACAGACAGACAGACAGACATACATACATACATACAGACAGACAGACAGACATACATACATACATACATACATGCATACATATAAACACATATGCATATGTCGCATGCCATGTATACATACATACATACAGCCATACATGCATGCATACAAATCGGCATACACATATACACACATACATACATACATGCATACATACATACATACAATCACACATACATACATACATACAGACAGGCAGACAGACAGACAGACAGGTATATAGACATACACATATATATGTGTATATATTTGTGTATGCACATACATACATACATACACACAAACATACATACCTACACACATGCATACACACATAATACATCCACACATGCAGACACGCGTACATACATACATACATCCGTACATCCAGTACAATACGCATGCATCTGCATTTAGACATATATTTACATGCAAGCAGAGGAAGAAACAGATGAAGGGCGGGAGAGAGAGAGAGAGAGAGAGAGAGCGAGGTGCTGACACGTACCATCGAAACTACTTGCACGCAGAGTCAGACGCAAGGTCAACGAACACATATAACAACACACATCTTCATCTTCAGCGGCAAGCTGGGAAACGAGGGAGCCTCGTGAGATGGCTGTCGGGTTTTCCGTTTGTCTGGGCTTCTCTTGCGGTTTCTCTGCGCTCCCTCTTCGCCGCCGTTGGTTTTGGGAAAGGCGTGCAAACCTTGCCGAGCCCTGGTCGGATTCGCTCTCCGACAAAGCTGCGTGGAATGCAGATCCAGAGAAGCGTCGCTGCAAGCTAGCAGCCGTGCGGTCCACACGTGGTGATGGAGATACTCGGGATGGGCAAGCTGCAACTGTACCTGCATGAGTGCCGAAAAAAACCTGACGGCAGAGAATGTTAAGTCGAAGCTTGACAGACGACAATGTTGCAGAACTGAAGGGGCCCCAGGACACACACATAAATACACACAAATAACAATATTCCCGATATTTTCCCATATTTTCTGGGTGTTTGTCTTCCCCCTCACTTCCCATATGGTGCCATATTTTCTGGGGAATCGACGATTAATTGTGTCTGTGTGTTTTTTCCCTCCTGAAGAACGTCCTTTTTGTGAGAGCTGCCAGGGGCACTCCACGTGCGCACTGCGCCGCATCGCGAATGGATCTCAGCAGGGTACTTAAGTTGATCGACGTTCAAAAACAAACGAAACTACAGTCGGGGCGCTGACCTAAGGAACCCTACATAAGGAACAAGGCCCCTCTTTTCCATAAGTTGAACTTCGACTTCCCATACAAAAGCCCTAAGGGAAACCCGAGGCAAAATGTAAAACAATCAAGGAACACCGAGCCCCTCCCCAACGAACAGCGTTCATTCTTCAAGGCCCCGACTGTAGTTAGTTGATCGACGTTCAAAAACAGACGAAACTGTCAAGCGAAACGCACGTCGATCAGCGAAACCGACTGGGGACTGAATCAGGACACTCGACTGTCAACATCGAGCGAAGCAGCGCACGCTTCCTCCGTCGACATGTCTGAGCGGGCGCTCTCTCCATTCCCGATTGGGGACGGCTGACAGGACGATGCCCCCCAAAGCCTGGCACAAGCCCGTTGCCGCTGCGCGAGTGCTGCGTGCGTGGCCCACACGTGGCGTCGACTCTAGAGCAGCGGCCAGACCGACAGCCCCTGCCCCGCGCGCATCACGGGTAGCCGACTTCCGCCCTGTCGCTTGACTACCTACCAGACCACCCCAACCCAACCCGAAGACCCGAATTTCGGGTTGGGGGGGTTAAGGGTTCCACGTGTGTTTTTCTCTATGTTTCCCGACCCCCCCCCACTGGAAATCGAGGGTAAATCTGAGCCTTCGGGTTGGGTTGGGGTGGTTTGGTGGGTGGTGCTCGCTTGCGTCCTGAATGGCGCACGCACCCACGCACACCCGTGCACGCGAGCTGCACCAGCATGCCAGCAGCGCGCGCACCCTAGAGAGGCCCCGGGCCACCGCCCGTGCTGCCACTGCACTGCTGCTCACTGCCCGTCGCTATCGCGGCCGCCGGACCGCGCAACCACCGCCCCTGTCCTCCACCTCCTCCCTCTCCCGCTGCTCGCCCTGCTCTTTCCCGGAAGTCGGGCGTGTTCCCCTACAGGGGGATTTTCGACGAAAAAAAACAAATACTCCAAAAATGCACCAAACATATCAAAAAATAGTCAAAACATAGTCCCCAAACTATTTTTGGACTATTTTTGATTATTCTTTGGTGTATTCTTTATTTTTTCTCGAAAGTCCTCCTGCAGGGGGACCCGCCCGACTTAATATTTCCCCTCCCCCTTCCCGCCTGCTCTCCGCGCCCCCGCTCGCCCGCGCCTCGCTCGCCCGCGCCGGCCGGCCCTCGCCCCCGCCTCGCCCCCGCCCCGAGACGGGAGGCCTGCTCTCGGGCAGCGGCGCTCTTGCGCACCTTCCGCGCCGGCGGGGCGGACGAACCACTGGAGCGTGCGTGCCTTCAGCGCGGGGGGAAGGCAGCGGCGGAGCAGGGGGGGGCGAGGTCGGAGTCGAGGAGGGGGGAGCACGGATGCCCGGGGAGCACGGGGGGGGCTGGAGCGGCTGAGGACGGGGAGGGAGGAGGAGAGGAGGAGAGGGGGCGAGGAAATGGAAAAGATGAGTATACATATGTCCTTTGTTGGTTTCTCTCTCTCTCTCTCTCTCTCTATATATATATATAGACATGATGTGTATACATACATACATACATACATATATATATATATATATATATATATATATATATATATATATATGTGTATATGCACCTCCAGTGGATAAAGAACCTCGGAGGCGACTAATTTTGAAGTCGTGTTTGTGTTAGGCGATTTCGCTCGGGACATCCTCAACATTCTGAAAGCTGGACGCGTCCGTCACGCAACTCGTGACGTCAACGTCCAAACGCAGCTGTTTTCAAACAATTCTAAACATACATCCGATTAGAACAGCATTTGGATTCAATTATGTTGAATCCGATTCCTCGAGAATTGCATCTTCTCCTGGGACATCCTTCATCAACCGAACCCTTTTTCCACCACCCTTTTCGGAAACAAGTATCGTCTGAGACACCCTCCCAAAATCGAGCCCCGGCGTACAACACACACACACTCGCTAAATACACACAGAGCGGACAAACACACACACACACAACTGACAAACCACAGCACGCACAGCACATACACACACACTCGAAACACACGACACATACAACACATAACACACACAGACACGCACACACACAGACCACACGCATCACACACAGCGCACACAGCGCACACACAATACAACTAACATTCATAACACGCATACTGCACATAATCCACGCACAACTCACACAACACGCAGCACAAAACACACGCACACAACACACACACACCACAAACATACACACAACACATGCACATGTGTCTGTATGAGCCTGGGAACGCACGTGCCGGTTATATTTGCACATATGTGTGTGTATATATTTATACATATATATATATATATATATATATAAATATGTATGCACTAGAACCACGCGCGCGCTTTACGCGCGCGTGCTTAGGTTCTGGCCGACTGCGCAGTAGATGTCAATAGACCTTGCGCTAATCCACGATACCTTAGATACCCAGGGAGGGTTCCCCAAGCAAGGGCCGCCTTGGGCGCGTGGAAATGCTGGGCCTTCTGGGGGATAACTTCGGGTTCGGTGGGTGGTCGCGAAACCGTGCGAAGATCGACGGTGTGCTTCCCAAACTGGGCAAGTGCCGTGACTGCCACGGTGGCCCAAGACGGTCCCAGAGGCTCCAGGCCGCCAGGCCGTCGCAGCCGCCGCCCCCGCCGCCGCCCCTGCGGGCGCCGCGGCAGCAGCCGCTGCCGCCGTCGCGATGATCGTCGTGGTGGTTGTCGTCTGTGGACATCATCGGACGGTTGCACGTTGTGGGGCGTGTTTTGCTTTTCCGGGGCCTCCGGTGGCCTCCGGACTCTGGAGATCTGTGGGGCCTCCAGGGCTTCCAGAGGCCTCCTGGGGCCCTCCTGAAACTCCCACGCGCCCCAAAACAGCTCTAGACCGGGAGGGCCCAAAGGAACGCCAAAGGAGCTCCCAAAGCGGTCCCAGAACCCAGGCAATTTAATACAAATTTCATACAACGTCGTCCTTGACGAAGAAGCGGCTTGTATCAATTTTGTGTTAATCTGGGGGCACTCTTGGGGCCAGCTCGGAGTTTTCTGGGGGCGTCTTGGGCGTTTCTGGGGCGTCTTGGGGTTCTCTTGGGCCATCTTGGGGCCCTCATGGGACCTGTTGGGCCGTCTCGGGGCGGTCTCAGGGGCCCCTGGAGACGTCGCAGAGTGCCAGAAGAAACTCGAGACATTCGGAACAACAAAAAACATATAACCTTTTTGGGGAATCATTAGTTGTTGCCTCTTGCGGCCATCAAAGGGGCGCTCATCGACTCCTTTTGGGACGTCCGGGGGCATCTTAAGTCGTAAGGCTCGAATTATCGTCTCGGGTTACTGCGCTCGGGTCCCTTTTGGAACGGTCTTGAAGCGTCTTGGCCGCCTCTTCAACGCCGTTACAAAAGTTCGTCACGCTTTATGGGGGCATCAACATTGCAAATTTTGTCCGTTACTTCCACGTGAGCGAGCGAGCGGAGGCTGACCCCTATCCCGACCGCGCCAAGAAGCCCCCCCTCCCCCTAGAATCCTACAAATTGTTTGTTTTCGAGAACGGCCGAAATCCGGGATTCCTGAATCCAGAATCTTTCTATAGAAAACAAGATGTTCATATGTGTATAGATATGGATTGATAAATGTATAGAATGGGTTGTGTTTACATGCGTATACACACCGGGACAGAGAGAGAGAGAAGTAGACACAAACAAAGAGAAAGAGGGAGAAAGGGAGAGAAAGAGAGAGAGAGAGAGAGAGAAAGCGGGGTATGTTTACATTCCCGACGTAAAATCAAACGACTTTAGGCATACCACAGGGCGGGGAACTGCCTTGGTGACGCGAGCTGATTCAATCAAAAGTCATCACAGAAGCAATGAACACACGATGAGGGATCCACGGTTGCGACGAATCATCATTCATCGCTCCAAGATAAACAGCGGCTTCGCCTGCTACGCCAAATAAGACAGGCTTCGCCTGCCACGCCGGATGAACAGAGGCTCAGCCTGCCACGCCAGACAAAGAAGGCTTCGCCGACCACGCCGGATTACCAGGCACTCGATGCTGGCCGCGCGGCGCCTGAAATACCTCTACGCCGCTGCAGAAGTTCGTCGCATGTTACGGGGGATCCAAGATGACGACGAATCATCATTCATCGCTCCAGGATAAAAAAATGCTTCGCCTGCTACGCCCCCCCGAAAAATGGCTTCGCCTGCCACGCCGGATGAACAAAGGCTTCGACGCACAAGGGAGGCTTCGCCTGCCACGCTGGATTAACAGGCGCTCGATTCTCGCAGCGCGGCGCTTGAAATACTGCAGCGCCGTCACAAACATTCGTCACGTTTGATAGTAGCGTCAATATAATGCAGGTATCGTCCGTCACTTCTGCGTGAGAACGGGCCGGCGGAGGCTGACCCGTGTCTCGACCGCGCCGAGCTGCCCCCCTTCCCCTTTAGAATCCTAGCGGGCTTTTCAAGAACTTTCGAATCAAAGACCTGGGATTTCTAAATCTGGGATTTCCTCCTATTATATGACAGCGTACGTCTGACCATCTGAACACACACACACACATATACATATATATATATATATATATATATATAGGTGTGTATATATAATATACACACATGGAAGCCCCCCCGCATGATCATACATCTTCTTCTTCCAAGCATCCCATATCACCTCTTCCTCCCCCTTTTCCTTCCTGCTCCCCCTCCTCCTCCTCCTCCCCCTCCTCCTCCTCCTCCTCCACCACCTCCGTCTCCTCCTGCCCCTCCTCCTCCTCCTGCAGGAGCGTGGCGGCCTCCCACTCTCCTGCAGGAGGAGAAGGCGGAAGATATTGAGGAGGAGGAGGACGGCACTGAAAAACCAACATGCACAAGGAAAACCCCGAAAAACCAAGGCACCAAAGCCTGAAGAGCGAAAAACAACAAACACACTAAACAAAAACAAAGAACGCAACCACAGATTTCAATAAGTACCCCACTCACCCCCGTCGCCCTCACAAAGAAAACGATGCAAACTATTTGTTTGTTGTGTGTTTGGGTTGTTGTTGTGTGTGTGTGTGTGTGTGTTTGTGTGTGTGTGTGTTTTTTTTCTCGCGGTTTTGTGATTGTTCAGCCCTGGGTCTTGGTTACTTTGGTGTTTTGTGTTGTTACTTTGTTTATTTTGTTATTCAGTGCCCAGAAGGTCTCAGGACGCCCCAAAAGCGCCCAGGAGGCCTTAGATCGCAAAGCCGCATTACAAGTTATGTTTGAATTCAATGTGTAGATCGCACACAAAAGTAGACCTATTGCAAAGCCGCACGAAAACGATTCTATGTGTATTCCACACCATAGAAACCAACTTGAACATCGCCTACAAAAACATCCGAATTTAGAATCGCACAAAAAGGAGCCGATTAATTCCACACAATAGAAATCACTTCCAGAACCACCCACAATAAAACATCCATTGTAAGGCCGCATGAAGCCATATCATGTGCAGCGCACCAAACTGAAATCAATGTGCAACTCGTCCGCAACAGGGCTCGAATTGTAAAGCCGCGCAAACGGATTCTATGTGCATCCAACACGATGGACATCAATATGTTAATCGCCTACACAAAAGACGTCCGATTGTATAGCCGCGCGCAAGGATTGTATTTTGTGTTATATGCAATATCACTAAAACGATACATCGCTTCAACAAAAAACATTATTGCAAAGTCGCGTTACAAGGAACTGTGTGCATTTCACACACACACACACACACTAGAAATCAAATTGTACATCTCACACGAATGGCCTCCTTTTGTGAAGTCGCCAACAACGATTCTACGTGCAACCCAACACTATGTAAATCAATCCGTAAAGCGCCCGCAACAGGGCTCCAATTGTAAAGTTGCGCACAAGGATTCAGAGTGTATTCCACACACTAGAAATCAATATGTAAATCGCACACAAAAGGGGTTCCAATGTAGAGCCGTACGAGGGGATTCGATTTGTATTGAACACAATAGAAATCAAGTTGTAAATCGCCCGCATCAGGGCTCCTATTGTAAAGCCGCACGAAAGGATTCTGTTAGTAATCCACACACACACACACACCGAACAAAAAAGTGAATCGCTTACACAAGGAATCCTGCTGTAAAGCCGCACAAGAAGATCCGATAGATCCCATTCAAAAGAAATCGATATGTAAATCGCCTACACGAGGGATCCCCTTGCAAACAAGAGTTCAAAAATATAAGTTCGATGGCACACAATGAAAATCAGGTTGTAAATTACCCACGATCGGGTTCCGATTGAAACACCGCGTGAAAAAATTCTATGTGTGACCGGCACATGAGACATCACTTTGTAATTCGCCAACAAAAAGGGATCATAGCTGTAAAGCCGCACGAAAAGATTCTATGTGTAATCCACACCATAGACAACAACTTGTAAATCGCCTACAAAGGGGCTCCTATTGTGAAGCCGCGCCGAAGGATTATATGTGTATTCCACACAATCGAAAACAAATTGATCTCTCCAAACAAAGGGATCCTCTTGTAAAGTCGCACACAAGGATCCTATGTTTATTCCAAACAATAAAAATCAATTAGTACATCACCGACAACAGGGTTCCTATTGCAAAGCTTCGCGAAAAGGATTCCGAGTGTAGTCCACACGATAGAAATCAACTTGTAAACCGCCCACGTAATGAGTTCTACCGTAAAGCCGAATACACATATTCTAATTGTATGACACACGATAGAAATCAATGTCACAATCGCCTACAACAGAGATCCGATTGTAAAGCCGCGCTCAAGGTTTTTACCTGTATTCCCCGCAAAAATATCAATGTGTGAATCGCCCACAACAGAAAATCGATTGTCAAGCCGCATGAAAAAAAAAGGGTTCTATGTCTATGGAAATCAAGGTGTGCATCGCCTACAACAGGGCTCCACTTGTAAAGCCGCATTAAAAGATTCTATGTGTAGTCGACACACTAGAAATCCAATTGAAAATCGCCAACAAAAGGGAACGCCGCACATAACGCTTATATGTGTAACCCACACGATAAAAATCAAATTGAGAATCGCCGACAAAAGGGCTCCAGTTGTCAAGCCGCACTAAAGGATTCTATGCGTATTCAACACACTAGAAATCAAGTTGTGAATCGCCCACCAAATATATCTCACAATACAGCCGCACACAAGGATCTATGTGGAAGTAGAAATCATTGTGTGAATTAAGAATGCCATGAGAACGACCCCTGAAATTAAACAATGAAAAACAGGATAATGAACATGAATAGTAATGATAAGAAACCCAATGCGAAGAAGACTGAAACGAACAAGAGGATGACTCATCCAATTATGAAGAGTGCAAAAAGACTAAACAGTATGATCATGTGGGGGGGGCAGGGGGGGCAGGCACACACACACACATATAATTATATATACATGTATATATACATATATATATATATACATGTTTATGGAACTGTATACATGACTAGTGACCAACATATTGAAAACATCCCGGCGAAATATCACACGATGCTCGACATTGGAAAGACTACAAAACAGCGGCGGCGGAACCGGAAAAAAACAACATGGCGACAAACAACAAAGAACAATTGAACCGATGAACAACTTCCATGCCGTTTGCAATAACAGCTAACCTCTGGAGGCATCCTGAGAGCCTCTGGGGACTTCTTGGGGCAACCTTGCTGACAACGACGGTTGACCTCAACGACCAGGACACGGATGGCTTTAGGGGGCTTGTCGTCGATGCCATCTTGGACGCACCTGGAGACACGCCAATTCGGTGGCTAGGCGTCGACTGTCGGGCATGGCCCTTCTATTACCCTCCTGGGCCTGGACGACCCCCCAAGGAGAGGTCAGAGCTTCCGACATGGCCAAAGATGGTTTCATGATGGCCGAGGATAACCCGAATATGTCTCGAAGATGGAGCAATATGGTCCACTTTGGCTCAATATGGCTCCCTGCATGGCTCCATGAAGCCCCACGGCGGCTTCAAGACTGCTCGTTGTGGCCGACGGAACCACCCAATTATGTCCTCGATAAACATGCGAGCGTCAATTGGAACACAACTCGGCTCATGAGTGCACACGAGTTGAAGGTCCTCGCTTTTCACATTCCAATAGAAAAGGCCTCGAAATGGCACCACGATTTCCCAAGCGAGCCCAATGAAGAGCTCAGAAGGGCCCAAATGCGACCTCCAAGACCCCCACGAATATTTCAAAATATCCCCAACTGGGGCTCCGAATAACTGATTTGTTCGGCTCCGACGGGGGAGGATGCTGATTACGGACCACCTATTTTTTTTGCCGATTGTCCCGAAAACCCTCCAAGAAACTCACCCAACTGCTACAACAGGCTCTCTGAGGCCCCCGAATGAGCAATCATGTTGGGATGCGCGGGCTGATTCCAGCTTCGGCTTTATTACCCAGAGCGACCTTTGCAACAACCCTTGTGTTTGACTCCTTGGCCTGCTCAGGCAGATCCCGAGCTTCGGTATGCTCCGACGCGTCCCTGCCACAGGCCACCCGCCTGGAGATCGTCTCTGGGTGGGGTTGCTGAGGATACGCGAAGCGTTGATGACTGTTGTCGGTCCTCGTGGGATCCGTATGGTCTCAGTTACTTTCGTAAAACATCGGCCCAACTGGCATTAAAAATGGCCGCTGCAGCTGGTGGGGACGAGTGAACAATACCTCTCAGAAGAAGTGATTCCACCAGCCGACATGATTTACATGCTCTTGTTTGGCCTGCGTCTCGATCTTCGTCAGAGTGAAAGGCCGAACGGTCATTCACTGTCCCTGACTGCGTCGCTGAAGTGGGGTTCCGCGGTGCGGATTATTGTTGCCTTGTTGTTGTTGGTGTTGGTGTTGTTGCTGTTGCAATATTTTCATTGTAGTTGCTATTGCAATTGCTGTTGTTGTTTTTGCTGTTGTCGTTGGTGTTGAACTCTCATTCTCGAAAACTACATATTGTTGAGCCCCCCGCACGTGCACATTGTGCTCGCACCCTGTTCCTCATCAAAGAAGACACTCGTTCTCAAGCTGCGTTGGTGGCCCCCGAACTGCAACAACCACGGCTCCGCCGGACAACTCCTCACGATGTGTCCCAAAATCGCGCTCTCGCGCGGCATTTCCCTCACACTGCATGCAAGCATCGCGCTCTCGCGCGGGACTCCCTCGCAACTGGCTCCGGCGCCGCGCCGTCGACACTCAGGACTCATGCTCTCGCCGTGGCCTTTCTCTCGGGGCTAGCCAGGCAGCGTCCCCCGCGAAGCCCCAGTAGGCCCCTGGGCTCCTGGAAGCCGACGACGGCCAAAGTTCACCGAAAACGCCCAAAAGCGCCCTGCCTCGATCCTCGACGGCCGAGGGCAAAAGCATGTCAGCCAGGGCATCGCGCTGTCGCTCGAGGCCTCCTCGCGATTCCTACGGGGCCCGCGCTTCCGCAGCCCGCCCGCTCGACCCCCCGGCCGCCGGGGCCCGCTTTTCCCCGACCCGCCCGTTTCGCGGGTCTGCGCGCACGAGGTGCCCGTCGGGTTCTGCCGCGTGCTTTTCTGCTCTGAGCGCCGCTCCGTCCAGGAGAGCCCAGAATCGAATCGATAAGTCGGATCGGCGATCGAAATGGACCGGATCGGCGGAAATCGGCAGCCGAGTCGGGAAAAGTCGAATCGGTAGACATCGGCAGGTTCGTAGGCCTCCATTGAGAAATAGGATCCGAAATCGGAATCCGAAGTCGAATCGAATCGGAATCGGACTCCGTTGAAATCGAATCGAATCGAATCGGAGAAATCGAAATGAGCCCTGTCCGTCCCTCTCCCTCCCCCTTCCATGCGTCCTCTCTTCCCCTGCTTTCAGTGGCTACCTACCAGACCACCCCAACCCCACCCGAAGACCCGAATCTGTCCCGGATTTCGGGTTGGGGGGGGGGTGCGGGTTCCGTGTGTTTTATCAACGTTCCCCGCCCCCCCCCCCACTGGAAATGGAGGGCAAATTGAGGCCTTCGGGTTGGGTTGGGGTGGTTTGGTAGGTGGTGATTTAAGGGCTGCGCTAAATTCACGTGGCAGGGAGGGAAGATGTACACCCAAACGGGGCACGATCGGAAACGAAGAGGGCGTGTACCAAGGGTTTGGGATCTACGCGTTGGCTGGCACGCGAGCAGAGATCAACCACTCCTAATAGGAGTGTTCTCGTTGCTGCTGTTGCCGCTGCTGTTGCTGATGTGACTGCTGCTGTTGGTTTTGCTGATGCGGTTGGTGTTGTTATGGTTGCTGTTGCTGCTGTTGTTGAGGTTGATGCTGCTGTGATTGTTGTTGCCGTTGTGGTTAAAGTTGCTGCTGCTGTTGGTGTTGGTGTTGCGTGTTTATATGATTGTTTATCTGTGTGGGATTGATTGTATGTTTGGTTGTTGGTGTCGTTGGTGTTGGTGGTAATGTTGCTGTTGGTGTTGGAGTTGTTGTTGATAATGTTGGTGCTGCTGTTGTTGCTGGTGTTGTTGTTGCTGTTGATGTTGTTGGTGATGCAGTTGTAGTTGCGATTGTTATTGTTGTTATTAGTGTTGTTGTTGTTGTTGGTTGTTGTTGGCTGCTGATTGTTGTTGCCACTGTTGTCGTCGTTCCACTCGCGACCAAGCCCGCGACCCACCCGCGACCTACCCGCGACCCACCCGCGATCCAGCCACGAGCCAACCGCGACCCACCCCGCGACCCTTCCGCGACCCGCCCGCGACCCACTCCGCGTCCGTCCCCTCACTCTATCCGCAGCTGCGGGGCGGTAAACATGAATCCTCATCACTCCTGCAGTACGCCAAATGGGCCTGCACAATCTGATCATCCGTGATATCCTCCTCGTCGCCCGACTCTTTGAACCCCTCTTCGAGCGCATTATGGATGTGTGCTACGGATGTGTGCAACCATGGGCGCCCCTTCCTGCCAATTCTCGTAGCCTTCCGCGTTCTTTCCGCCCGCCCATCCACTCCCGCCCCGCCCTTCCCCTGGCATCCTCTTTCGTTTGCTCTTGCCGCCCTTTGTGGCACTGCTTGACGTGCTTCTTCCCTCAGCTCGGAATCCGGCGGCGAGGGGAGATGTAAAGCGCATAAATACGTGAGCGCATCAGGTGTGAGTCTCTCGCTCTTCTTCTCTCTCTCTCTCTCTTTCTCTATCCATCTCTTTATCGTGTAGTCTGCTGTCAATTATCTCTCTCTATCTATATATTTCCCTTGCTTGTGCAGGTGTTGTCGTGACTTATATATATATATATATATATCCCTCGTTTGTGCAGATCTTGTCCTGAAGCAAATCCTCTGTGTTGGAGTACACACTGGGCGGGGGACGAGAAGGTCAGGAGCGCGGGGAGGAGGACGAGAGAAGTGCGGAAGGGAACCAAGATCAGCCATCCAGGAGAGACCCACCAATTGTCTCGGCAGGAAACGGATCTTGCGAAGTCAGGCAAAGGGTAAACGAGAGTGGTGAAAAGGAAGGGAAGGACGAACGTTTTGGAGAGAAAATGAGCCATCGACGGTGAACTGCATGTAAAGACGTTACATGATCGACCAAGTGGAGGCGGCCACGGACAGAATTCCGCGGGGGTGACCTTGCCGAGAGGCTCCGACCAGCACAACCCCTGTGAGCATGATGCTCGAACATTGCGCTTCTCCTACTCCTCCCTGCCTCCCGCCTCTTCCTCAACCTCCTCCGCATCCACGTGTGCGCTTACAGTGGCACCAAGCGTGACCTGGACACCGCTGGTCCACCACGCCACCTCCTGCGGGGCTGTGTTTGCAATTCCAGAACGCAATCGCCACTGCCACTTGCCATTGCCACACCTGCCCCAACAATTACCAGACCATGCATTCGCACAGAGCTTCGATCACAATGTGGCGACATCGGTCCTGCGTTGCTTATGCTGGGACGCCTCGCGGCATCTCCGAGGTCGTGAACCACACACACCGCGGTACCTGGCAGCCACATCCGACCTCGTGACCGCCTGCACGGTGCCAAGCGGAACTTCACCGGGCGACCGGACCCAGAACAGCCCTCACGACACCACGGCATGGCACCCAGCAGCACTGCCGCGAGCAACCCTGGTCACCACACGGCGCTGCCTTGGCGGCAGGAGCGCGCGGCCAACTCACACGTCACCGCACGGCACAGAAGACGAGGTGGCCAGATGCAAGCTTTGCCACCGTGGTGCTATATGACATGGCACCCGGCGAGTGAACCTGTGACCGTGCAGAACCTGTGGCTCCCAAGCAAGATCACGACATGGCCCCTGGCGATCGAGAAACTCTACAACACTGTGACGGGCGATCGGATCTGGGCACGAGACTTGCCCACGCAAATAAACCCGCGACCAACAACGAAATGGCACGGCCAGACCGATTCAAAGACCCCCCACACAGCACAGCACAGTGCGGCCGCGGCGTCATCGGACACCACACCAATCGACGTGCATGCTTGAACGATGCAAAGTCGCACGCTCCTGACACGTAGCTCGTAATAGAATTAAGTATGTCGAGGGGACGAGGGGTAAACTCCGACGTCAGCAAACAAAGAACGGGCCCACCCACACGCCACCACATACCCCGGCACCGGACACAACACATTTTCCAGCGACTGAACCTGCATCCATATAGACAACAAGCGGCCGTACGGCCGTACGTCGCAGCCAAAGAGATGGCTCGGCAGCTTTTGGGAAAACAACTTGGGAATGAAGGTAAACGCTTGCAGCAATCTGCGCCTCAACTTTTTGAGCGCAGGCGTTGCTGCCACTCCTACTCTACTACCAGGATCAGGACGGCCATCCTGGTCTGCACGCTCGCGACGCGACCTTAGAGGGCCTGCATCTCTGCGTCCAGGAATCGGTCCTGCAAGGAAGTGGGCAGCGTGTCCAGTTCCTTCATGTATATCCGGGACGACCTGCCTGCGTCGTAGACGCGCTGCTTGCTCAGCGGCAGGTCTTCCTTTGTCGCTACCTGTTGGGGTGTTGTCGCGTCTGGGAACAACGCTCGGCCAGCTGCGAGAATCCGCCTCTCTGAAAACTTCCCGATAAAAATGACGCCGCTATTAAGCCCGCCCTTTCCGAAAATATTTCTGCGCGCTGTATTTGTTTCAATGTCGTCGTCGCCGTCGACGCGATCGTGATCATTCCCGCTATGCCCACCGTCACGGTGATGCCAATGACATCATCACCGTGATGCCCATGACCGCCGTACTCGTATTCAGAATCGTCTACAAACGAAGGTGTCGATTCAACACAGGAACTTCGAATCAGCACAAGACCTAGGATTATACCTTGGACTGGTCCGTTCCGAATCCGCCGACAAATAAGTTTTCCCCTGGTACCCCCGGAGCGGCCCTCTAATCTCTCCGACCGCCCGGCGGCTTCCCCTCCGCGGCTCCTTTGCGGCTCCCCCGCGCGACGACATAACAACATGCGTAAATCTGTATATCTGTCAATATTTCTATATACGAGAACCGCGCGCGCGCTTCGCGCGAGCGTATGCTCGAGCCTAACCCAAGTCAACCTCGCAAGATCGGATAAGGATGGGCATCATCCCGCAATGATCACTATACGCTATACTTACCAGCCTCGAACATATCCCTATCCCTATGCTGGGCATCTCCTCATCACGATGCCAATCTTAGGGATTCCCTTATTTTCTGAGGGCGAACCCCTAAGATTGTCATCGCCTTTTGGCGTGTCAATCTTAGGGATAGGGATAAGTTCGAGGCTGGTAAGGGAAGATCTTGGAGGGCTCTTGTGGGTTTCTGGGAGATGGGGCCTCTTCGGTTTCTCTTGGGGGTCTCCTGGTGGGATCTTGGGACTTTTGTGGGGCACCTCGGGGTCCTCCCCGAATGCGGATCCCCACATCCAGAGGCTGCCCATTGACTTTGAGCCGCTCCCTATCACGATGTCCATGAGAACGGGAAGTGTTCGCAGATCCAAAGTTTGCCGATTGAATTTGGATGGCCTCCTAAGAACATTCACCAAAAACGGAGCAGATCCCAGAACCAACGGATTCTTACCGAATTTGACTAAGGCTCCAGTCGGATTCCATAGGAACGGAACAGATTCCATATCCAGAACATCCAATAGGATTTGACTAGGGCTCACTCGGATGTCAATAGAAGCGCAGCAGGCCCAATGTCCAGAGCCCTCCGATTGAATTTGAAGGAACGTCCCCTGGGATCTCAACAGGACAAGGGCCGATCCCAGACCCAGACGATCCCGAGTGAGTCTGGACAGATTTCTCGTCAGCTGCTACTAGAAAACGGAGCAGGTCCTACAGTCGGGGCGTTGACCAAAGGAACGATAAATAAGGAACGAGGCCCTTTCATCCACAAGTTGAACTTCGATTTTCCATCGAAAACCAAAGGAAAACCCAAGGCAAACTGTAAAACAATCAAGGAACACGGAGCCCCCCCCCCAACGAAAAGGGTTCCTTCTTCAGGGCCCCGACTGTATATCCAGAATGTGCTGGTGGAACTTGGGTAGGATTCGAATCGGATCTCAGTGGGAACGGAGCATATTCCAAGTCCAACAGATTTTAACTGAATTGGCATCGGATTATCATCGAATTGCGGTTGTAACAGAACAGATCCCCAATCCGGAGGATTCCTACTTTTCTGCCTACGACTCGAATGATGTTTCAATCGGTGACAACCACGGGCGCCATCATCTTCCAGAACACGTCGTCGTCATCCGCGTTCGAGTCATGTTCCTCCACTGTCTTTCCTCATCGCTCTCATCACCCTGCTCCTCTTGATTTGCCCTCCCATCCTCCGCATGCCTTTCCCTCCGCCGTTTCTGTTTCCACCGTGTTCCTCCTGTGTTTCCTCCTCCTCCTCCTCCTCCTCCTGCGTCTCCTAGTCCTGCTGCTGCTGCTGCTGCTGTTGCTATTTCACCTGATGAGGAAGAGGAGTCTAAAAAGGGAGTGGGGAGGGGGGAGGGACCCTTGTTGAATTCGAACCGAATTTGTCTTCACTTCAAAAGATCCGGAGCACATCCTAGATCCATGGGGTTCCCATGCATTTTGAAATTTGAACCGGAGTCAAGGATGTTTCAGTGAGAACTGGAAGTGGTCCCACGCCCAAATGATTTCTATTGAAATTGAGTTCGCATGTCAATAGAAATCGAGCAGATCCCAGATCCCAAACATTCCGATTGAATTTACATGGGACCATGATCGGATTTAATCGGAAAGAGTCAGAACCCAGATCCAGAGTCATTATTATTGACTTTGGATCGTACTCCACTCAGAGAATCCCGCTTGACTTTGAATGAAATGCTGATCTCCCGTCAGTAGGAGAAGAGCAGATACCAGACACAGAGGAATTCTTTTGAATTTGGATAGGCTTCTCATCATATCCCAGTCGAAACAAAGCAGATCCTAGATCCAGGAGGAGGAAGAAGAGGAAGAGGCGGAGAGCAAGAACAGGCAGGAGGAGGGGCAAGAACAGGCAGGGAACAAGCAGGCAGGAAGAAGAGGAAGAGGGGCAAGAAGAGGCAGGCAGGGAACAAGCAGGCAGGAAAGGGAAGGGAGGAAGAGGAACAAGCAGGCAGGGAACAAGCAGACAGGATGAGGAGGAGGGGCAAGAACAGGCAGGAAGAAGAGGAAGAGGAGGGGCAAGAGCAGGCAGGGAGCAAGCAGGAGGAGGGGCAAGAACAGGCAGGGAGGAGGAAGGAGAGCGAAGAATGGCGCGGGCCTCGCCGGAGCCCCAATCGGGGAGCCGTCCAGCGAGCACGCCGTGGGCGGGGGTTGCAGAAACGATTCCCTCTTGAGAAGCAAGACAAGGGCTGACCGAGGGAGGAGGAGGAGGAGGAGGAGGAGGAGGAGGAGGAGGAGGAGGAGGAGGAGGAGCTCGGTGAGGAAGCCATGGAAAGAAGATGCTTCGTCGATGTCGAAGGTCGGTGGGTGCGAACGCGCTGCACAAGAGGTCGGGGAGGCAGGCGGAGCAGGGGCGCCCGTCGCCAGGCGACGTATGCATGGCCGAAGCACGTGCGATTGCGTTATGCCGGGCTTCCACCCCGAAGCCAACAACCATATGAAAGA